CCCCCCAACCCCACCCCCCCAGGCCCCGTACAGTCCCCCGCCAGCAGCGGTCACCCCCCCAGCCGGCCAAGCTCACCAACAACTTCCGTCCTCTGGGCCGGGGAGGCCAGGAACTGCGGCAGCCGGTGCTCGTCTCCGCTCCTGGTGGAGAGGCTGTCCAACTGCATGGAGAACTTGATGGGCAGCGGGGAATTGTTTTGCAGCTGCAAGGAGCAGGGCTCAGTCACTGGACCAGCCGGACTGGCCAACCGATGGACAGGCTGCTGCAACCAGGTCTCAGCTCCCTCTGCTCCCTGGGCCACACCCTGGGCAGTCAGGCTCAGGCTGGCCTTCAGCCGAACCAGCATCCCTGCCCAGGCTCTTCTCTGCCCTCACCCTCTTCCCCTGAGAGCACCCCATCCCCCCATAAAATACTCCCTGGAATCCCTGGCCTGGGCTGTGCCGTCAGGACCTGGACTAAACAGGGCAAGGAAGCCGGTGTCCTGTGGGTGGCTTCATCCTAAGGTTGGCGTGTCCCTCAGACACTGGGGGAGCAGCAAGAGGCAGGCGTGCCTCCCTGCCCGGGCTGGGGAGCCCACACGGTCCCTCCCCTGAGCCGTGCCTGAGCTGAGCTCCCCCCATCCCAGGTGGGGCAGCCCACGCAAAGGCCCTGAGGCAGGAGGCCCGGGCAGCAGAGGCACCGGGGAGGTGGGGGAGGAGGGTGTGCATCCTTAGCTTCTCCCGCTAGAGAGGGCCGCGGAGGTGACCGCTGCTGGGGGTGGGGTGGGAGCGGCCTGCACCCGCACCGGCTCCCCGACCAAGGCAGGGATGACCCCCTCCTGGGGCACGACCCCTCCCAGGAGGCAGGGCAGGCGCCGTGTCCCCGCCACACGCTTTACCTTGAAACCCGCAGAGGTGGATTCTCCGGCGATCACGTAGCCCATGTTGAGAACGTCTCCTTCAATCGAGCACGTGGTCACGGATGCCACGCCTGTGCCCACGAGGGCCAGGGAGAGCGTGCCTCTCTTGGTGATGATCTCCAGCATTTCCTGGGCCTGGGGAGACCATGTCCCTTAGCGTGGAGCAGACACGTGTCAGAGACAAGTGTGGGAGCTCCGTCTCTGAGCAGCTGGCTCAGGGCGTGTGGGACCTAAGATGGCTTGGAGCTCCCTGGCCTTCTCTTCCTCCTTCCAGCAAGAGGCCAGGGCCCAGGAGGGCCAGCGGCTCCCCGGGCCTGGCTGGATGACTAGGGCCTGGGCACTTGGCAGGTGTGCAGAGTGGAGAATGGGGCCGTGGAGCCCCAAGGCTGCAGCCGGCTCAGGGTGGGTCTAGGACTCACCAGGACGCTCTCACGGGGGGAGGAGGACAGCTCCAGGACCTGGGTCTCTCCAGACGCCAGCTTGCTGATGGGATTCAGCAGG